TGATCTCAACTATTGAAATGACTACAATCTCCACAAAACCCCTTCTGATTCATTTATTTCATAGAAATTTAAACAAATATTCATTAGGTATCTAAATTCAATATCCTTATTAGGTTTTTATCTTTTTAATACTATGTTAATTTTACTCACTATGTTAAACTGATCTAATTGAACCAAGATCATTTTGATGATAATCATTATTAGATTTTATGGAAGGTATTGAACGATATGAAGTGATTACAGGTTAGCCAAATGTTGAGATGTAAAAAAAATGTGGGATAATTATTACAACGTAGTTAGTTATTACTCAACCTGCAACTTACAAGATCATTCACTTCATACTGAAGTAGTTTACACTTTAATTCACCAAAATTCGTGATGATCTTTCATTGTCATTAGTAATACCTTTCTTATACTCGATAATGTTGAATACTATCAGTTAAAGCTAATCACTAACACAGTGACCCGAACAGTAATCACTCAGTATGAGATTTATAAGTCCTAAGTTCGATCTTTGACTGGGTCAGGATTTCAAATTGCTAACTAATTTCTAACTAGAACGAAACAGTTGGCCAGTGTTTTCTAGTTAAAAATGGTTGTTTAGCTTCGATGTAATTCTACAATATATGTATATGCATAAACATTCATCCCAAAAGAAGCTGAAATCAGTTTGCCGAACTTAAACGAATTTCATTTTCTATTTCAAACATAGTTTTAGCCGCGGGGGATCGTGAATATTTACTTCTGAGGAGTCCCATACTGAGACGAAACGGTCATCTAGTGCTTTCAGGTTTTCCATGGTGGTCTAGTCTTAAATAACATATTTAAAATATTTATACATGACTACTGAGTGGGAATATCGTTTTACATAAGATTGACCACTTTTAAGATTAAATTAAAATTGCGTGTGTGAATATTTCATTCCTATTTTTTCACATATATATTTATAATTACTTAGATTACTTCTAAATTTTAAAAAAAGGCAAGTAACCTTGGCAACTAAAGACGTAATATCAGTACTAGAATCTTAACTAAGCTTTTATCTTTTATCCTTCTAGTGGCTACTTGTCACTTAAGTAGTATGTATATATATATGAAGTATATGATTCTTCATTTTTTAATTAAAAAAATAATGATTTTCAGTCTACATGAAAGTCAGAGTTAAAATGACATGAGAGTGAAGTTTTTGTCATATAAAATGGATAATGACTTGTAATGGCTTATTCAATATATATATGTTTACACGTGTAATGCCCTAATATACACACACACATCCATATATATAAAGAGAGAGAGAAAGAGGGGGGTACAAACTGCTTTCAATTAGTATTCCTTTACTGTAAATCTCGAAATAATTATTAATGCTGATGAGTATATTTTGCCTTATTCAATGTTTCCTTTTTGGTAGTCAATTCGGACAGCAGTCAGTAAAATAGGATATCCTTATGTCATTTTATAACTAAGTTGTTATGTCATATTGTTATGTCTGTATGCGTGTGTACATGTGTCTATTTGTGTATGTGTTTCTAATGGAATAAGAACGATTTGATTATGTAATCCGAACACGTGATATACAAAAAGTTCACCATCAACAATGAGTTGGTATCTTTATCAGACACGTGAAATACACAGAGATAGATGAAGGTTTGGATGAGAAGAAAAAAAATATAAACATGCCGCTAGTGATTCTCTCACCTCCATCTGTCCAAACTGTTTGAATAAATGAATGATTGAGTGAACTAAGAGAGTGATACTTGACCTTAGTAGTGAAATCCTAGATGTTGATGACCAATGACGTAATTTCCTTAAGTAATTCATATCTTCATATCCTAGATACAATAAGATGGAATTATGTGTATGTGCACATATGAGGGGGGGGGGAGGGAACTATAAGGAAGAAATAAATAGACAGAGGAGGTAATAGTAATAATAATAATTGTTGTTGTCAAGGTTAAAAGATGTTTTAGGAATTGCGTAACTTTGATTTAAATATGTTTATGTCAAATATAAAGATTATTTTTAAATTAAATATCTATATTTATTTTACTCTTATATATATATAATTTAATATCAGCTTATGTACACACTAACAATTCACTTTCATTTATTCAGTGATTTACATATCCTGTAAGTTTATTACTTTATGTTATTTCCAGAGTAGCTCAGTGATAACTTCTGAAACTGTAAAACTGAATGATGGATATTTGAATGAACAGTAGAAGGTACGCTTTAATAGTCAGTGGGAATTAACATCAGGGTTGGATGGAGAGTGCTAATGGGTGGTCTATACTCTTCCACGAGGAGTAATAAGTGTAAGTAAAGGAATTAGCATGTAAACGACACAGGGAACAAAGAAGAAACACCTTAAAGAAGAAAAAAATCAAAATCTCAGAACTACCCATGGAAGCGAACACAAACAACTGCGTGGTCAATCTGTCAAAACAACCACTAACAAATACGGAAGAACACCTACTCTGAAAGAGATTAAATTACAATACAAGTGACGCCTCAAAAGTGGAATTCTTCACAGCACTAGAGTCATCACTAAAAACTTCCGGAATAAGTGAAGAAACAAAACAAGAAATAAGGCAAACTATAGTACCGCTAACTCAACAGGTGAAGGAAAACAACCAACTGACCCCACAAGAAAAAAAAGCTTTAAAGGAACTCAGAACTAGAAAGGATATTTTCATAGTTCCAGCGGACAAAGGACGCACCAAAGTGATTATGGACAAAGAAGAATAGGTCAGGAAAGCCGAGGAACTATTTGTGAATAAGAGCACATACAAACTGACGGATATAAATCCCGTCAAAAAATTCGACAACCGAATCACAACTACTTTAAACAAGCTAGTCAAAGCAGGTTGAATAACAAAACAAGACCAATGGAGAATGAAATCCAATGGACCAGTACTCCATCGATTCTACAGCAGACCGAAAACATCCCACAACATCCAATTGTAGAACTCCCCGAAACGCCAAAATACAATTTATCAAGTGAAATTTCGCAAATATTAAAGCATTTAGTAAAGTCATCCAACCACTCCATCAAATGCCCCACACAATTTCTGGATCAAATTAAGAAAATTCATATCAACAACGACGGGCTAATGATATCCTTCGATGTAACAGAGCTATTAACCTCAATTGAACCAAGGTTAGCAAAAGAAACTCTGTCACTGCTTCTCACCAACGACACAAATCTCACAAAGTATACGAAGCTTCAAATTCAAAGTCTAATAGAACTCATCGATTTATGCCTAACAACATATTTTAAAAGACTTCAATCTGAAGTTTGTGCTGGTGATATCGTTCAGAAGAACGATGAAAGCTCTACGACCAAACCATTCAACTCAAAGAACAAAACTCCATCAAAATCATCCATCTGAGCTACAAATCTTCTCCACCATCTCATGAAACTTAAGTTTAGAGATGTCTGTAGATTACCTCCAACTGACTAAACTATACTGAATAAACAACATGGAAATATATAGTTCTCATCATATAGTTTAATCTAGAGTTCATATTTTGAATAGTTACTATTGAAAAAAAGTGTAAACTGTTAGAATAAAAAAACTGTTCAGTGTTTTCTAGTTATTGATAAGCCGTTTTATTTATGATTAGAGGTTATTTCGACAATTAGCTAGTGTTATGTATTAAGAACAGCTGACCAATATCAACTGTCAAGTTAACAATCAGAATCTTGATTATAATTTGATCTATATACTGTACAACTTAATGTTTCTGACTTGACCAATTACTCAACCGACTTTGAGCTGACATAACTAAATTTCTGCTGGTTCACTATTTGCAAGCTCCTCTCTGTCTCCTATCTTGAGTTCGAAAAATCAACAACCAGCCCTTGTTATATTTATTATTAAATAAAATGGAGTGGTTCAGTGAACAGAAGTGGACTACATCAGACCACCAATAACCCGAACTAATTGTAAATAGGGTAGACTATAAGTAATCGATTGGCAACAAGTTAGGGATAATTAAGTTTATCACAATCGGACATGGTTTTCAGAGTTATTATTGTGTTTAATCTTACTTCTGATATGTCAGATAGTGACCTAAATTTCATTCTAATATATAACTTGACAACTTCATCACAAGAAATCGATGCTGATTTTCAATGATGATCTAACTAAGATCAATTCATAATATAAAATCTACGAAAATTCAATAATCTTTATGAAATCCTTATGCTAATAATCTATTGATTAATTAAGTGAACTCTGTTCCATTTACATTCCGTTCTATTTATATTTCATTAGTAGAGTATTTCTATATTCATGAAATTATTATTGTGTATTATGTAATTCATGTATTAAATGGTCTTGGATAAAAAGTTTGTTGATAGGATCAATTCAGTTTTTATGAAGTAATTCTGGTTAGTGCTTTTTTAGCAACATTATTTTCTATGAGATGGGGATGCTGACCCCATAGAAGATGGTGTTTGGAGGTAGTTAACAGGAAACCCTGAACCTAGGTTTCATTCTATTTAGCACTCATCAGCAAAGTGTACATGTAATCTTGAGGGAACTGATGCTCTCTGACGGATTCGATCCCGTGTCACCCAGCTTCACAATCATATATGCTACCACTGAGCTATCCAAGCCGCAACCGACTTCCTGTAGGAGTGAGATGTAATCACAATTGATTGATCACTGGGTGATGATTAATGTCATGTGTTTCAAGTCCTTTTTTAGTACAGATCGAATGCTATCGACCAAGTTTCAATGTGGCCACTAGTCTAGGTAACTCAACATTGCGTGAACTATGTTTATAGCATTCGATTTGCACTAAAAAAGGACTTGACACACATGACATTGATCACTACCCAGTGATCAATCAATTGTGAATGCTAACCCCATGCCTAACCCTCCTTCTTTATACAGGCTTGAGATCATCAGTAGCCTTAGAACAGCTACAGGTGGAGTTATTAATTAATTGATTAAATAATTATTTATTGTAACAAATTATTTTGATTTCTTCAGCTGTTCAACATGAACGTGGACCAAGAAATTCTACATTAAGACGACAAGTTGCTTTATTTATGAATAATGATCATCAAACTATACATAAATCACAATTATCTCGTCAATCAAATCAATTATATCATCATCATCATCAATATCCAACATCATATCAACAATTATCTCAATCATCTATTCATCAATCTATACCATTTTCACAAATACCAATAACAACACAATTAATGCATACTAACACTTTATTAGATATGACACTTGGAAATTCATTGAATACAAATAACATTATGAATGACAAAGATACTACTACTACCACTACAACTACTACTACTAACAATAATAATAATAGTGATCAACAATATTCAGAAAATTCATTATCAATCAATAATATATTGAATTTTACAAATCCAGCTTTTTTATGCTTAAAATCTACAAATGAATCACTACTACCTTTTTGTTCTACTACACCATCATTATCATTGTTGTCAACATTGTCTTCTTCTTCTTCTCCTTCTACTACTACTACTACTACTAGTACTACTACTGCTACTGCTGCTACGACTTCTTCTACTTCGAATACATTGACAACAATTACAACTATGAATAATCCCATGGTTACTACCTCTACAATAAATGATAATATGAATGTTCTTTTATCTAAATCATCAACAATTACTATAACATCTCCACCAATCTGTTCTATCTCATCTACAATGAATATAAACCATAATAATTTTAATTATTTCAATTATTTACCTTCTATGTTTCATTTATCTAATCCATTTAGTTTAAATTTTCCAAATCATAGTTATTTTTCAACCATAAGTAAATCTACATTACCATTAAGTATGATTAATACTACTTCAACTATGAATAATACTACTCATAACACTATGAGTAGTGTTAGTAATAACAGTACTAATAGTATGATGAATATTGACAATATTAGTACTACTACTACTACTACTAATACTACTAATAACAGTAGTAATGGAAGTACTATGAGTAGTATGAATTGTTTAAATAAAAATGAGAATATCCATCCAATAGAATATTCATTGAATAGAGATTTACTTGAAAAATTACAGCATCATCATCATCATCATCATCATCATCATCATCATCCTCAAAACAATCATGATGATGATAATGATGATGATGATATAACAATGTCTAATGAACAACCAATGACAATCTCATCATCAAATCTAAATAATCTTGATCATTTGAATATAAAAACAACATGGAATAAAGCGTTAGCTTTTGCTAAATTATGTTTACCAGATTTATTTACATATACAAATACACATTATTTTGATTATATTGATCATTCGATCAATAATAATAATAATAATAATCAATATATTGATTATACAAAATCATTATTATATTTTCAATCAATTTTAAAATTAAATAATCAATATGATTATGAAAAATCAATATTATGGCCATGGTTTATGTCAAATTGTAATCAATTTATTGATTCATTATTACATTCAACTTGTATGAATGATCATAATTTGGATAATAATCCCAAACAGAAGAACCCTAATCATAATATAACTGATCCCAATAATAATAATAATAATAATAATAATAATAATAATAATAATAATAATAATAATAATAATAATGGTCATGTGAATTCAATATTGAATTGTCATATTAATCCAGGAAATCAAATGACCAATACATTATATCCTACAATGCCAATATTGACATCATCAGTAACGTCCACGGTGACATCGACTCCGATAAGTTTTCCTCAATTACCTTATCATTATTCTTCATTATTAAACTTTCCACAGACTATGATGATGAATATAAATGATCAATTTAAGAATGGTTCAAATGCATGGCTTTTCAATGAAAGTCAATCAATGCATAGAAAATGTGACTTAGTACATCAAAAAGGTTAGTTTTGAGATGAGGACTGTTCTTTTTTTAAAATGTAGAGATGTGAACTACTCATGAGTAGTTTACTTTTTCATTATACTATTGGTTGTATTCTGTTGTATGAGTAGTTTGTCATGTTTTTTTTATCTAAAATATTTATACAACTAATTTCATAGTTCAAAAGATTTGCAATCCGTTGAAGGCTTTTTTTATCCAGTGTAGGTCTATGAGTATTTGTTATATCCCGATAAAAATAGTGAACGGTAATTCTTGGGATCCATTTAGGCACCAATTCTAAACGTATATTTTTATCGTATAATTGCTATGTAACTAAACAGTTCATATTCATGTCCCTCTTATTATAAGCTTTAATTTAACCCATAGACTATTGCTATACGATTTACCATTCTTGAGTTATGTCTAGTCTATCAATTACTATCTCCTTAATTCACAGCCACTTTTGGACAAATATTGTACAAATGTTGTTTCATATTTTATGGTACGTTGTGGTCTGTCTAGTTTATATATAAACCGAGTATGTCTGAAATAAATGATTCATATTGTAGAGGCTGAGATTGGTGTTCTGGATTTAACTGGCTGGGCCAGGCGGAAGCGAGACCAAATCAGAATTCTAGGCTGCTCATACGGGTTTACGCGTCATTGTTCCTATCGATAAGTCGCTGCTCTCTGATTGGCGGTATCGTTGCGTTATACAATAACAGGGCGCACCCAGTTATAACAGTATTATTTTTGTAATATATTATTTACCTTTCCAAAGTGAAAAAATGGATTCAGACGAGGATTCGAACGAAGATTCGAATATGTAACAATATAAGTTAAGCAGTTATATGTTTTAAGAAAGTATTCTTCTTATCTAAATAACTAAAATTTTTAGAATACTGTAGAATAAACTAAAGAGAAGTATCAAATACTCTGTCTACTTCAAGTAAAGTGATAATGATGATAATTGTATTCACAAAAACAGTGAATACTGGACGATTCAACCATATGAGTGAGAATTCAGTATTATCAAAAGTTATACAACCATAAATTTCCTCCATCAATTTGAAGATTAAAGTCAATTATAATCCAGTAATGAGTTTGACCCAATTTTGTAGTTCAGTTTCATGTATTTCAACTATTAGGCTCTAGATAAAGAAAATCACACCTCTACTTATTTTTGCCTGAACTATAATCTACATTCATATATACCATCTAGCTGAAATCTATGTGATAGAAATCAGTTATTGATGAGTTTTTACTAAATTTGTTTAGTGTAAAAATGAACTTGTGATAACTTGTTTAGCATCGTCACCGTTGTTTTAAAATAATTGTACTTGTTGTAACTTTTGCCCGGCTTATTACCACATGATATAATCGCCAATCAAAATATGACTTATAAAATCTCAGCACTGTGCCAAACCAATGAAGTATTGACCGGCATGAGCAGCTTACATTCCTTATTGATCCTTTTTCCTCCTAGCCCTGCATGTTGAGACCAGAACACCAATACCAGCTTCTATTATATGAATAATTTACTTCAAACATATCTGGTTTATGTACAAGCCAAATGGACCACGTACATACAACCACTACCAGGGAAGTCGTACTCACTGCCCTATCGCGCCACCGGTGTTATTTACCAAAATGAGAGGACAAAAAGTGAATATATAGTGCTTTAGCCCGGTTGGTGGACACGGAGGGTCCACTTAGGAGAGTTGGGAAACCCTGATTCCAAACCAATGGTGTACAAGGACAAAAAGCGTATGAACCAATCGTTGGTCACTGGATACCATGAGACTGTATCTCCTGACATTGCTCCACTGCCTTTTGGATTAGAACTTTAGATCGAAGGCTTCGTGTTTGGCCCCCTGATAAAACCAGTTGCTTCTGTTTGGGCACCTGGTCAGTATCCCATTCCCAACATAAATCGAATGATTTGTGTGGCGTATATCTGTTTGGTGCTTCCTTGTTCCAATGTTTATGTGTTTAAATAAACAAATAAAATGTTAATGTTGACAGTTTACAACCCTTGAAAAAATTCCATGTTTTAATTGAATTCTATTTGATTTTTCCTCTCTTTCTACTTTTATTCAATAACAACTAACAGAAAATCAACAACATTGTCAACCATTACCTCCATCATATTCAGAAGCAATAAAAAATCAATTCACTATATCAAATGGATTATCACCATCATCATCATCAACAATTGATAATTTAAACAAAACTATATTAGATTCAACAACTAATGAATGTTCAATGTTCAATCAATCCAATGATAATAATAATAATAATCCACACTATTCATTTTCATCATCGATTCCTTCTTCTCCTATTATTAATGGATTCTTACCATTTTCCTCATTGTCTTCTATATCTTCCATATCATATTGTAATAGTTTTCCATTGAATAATTCATCGAATCCCTCTACATCAACATCCTCCTCCTCATCATCATCATCATTATCGTCATCAACAACGACAACAACTTTATCATCACCATTAATGTCAACATCAACATCAAGTTTGTCAATATTATCACAGTATTCCTTGACATCATTACCAAATACACCATGTTTACCATTGAACATTATACAATTTTATTTAAATCAATTATTATTTCAATTAATTCATTGGTTATGTCAATTTAGACCAGATTTAAAAATGAATGAACATTTTAATTATTCTATAAATAAATACAATATGATTCATTCAATGTGTCAACAATGGGATTATTTATTTGGTATAACACTATTTTTAGAATTTTATAAAATGTCATTAGATGATAGTACTACTAATAATCATAATAGTAGTAGTGATGTAAATGATATAAATGATCAATCTATTATTTTTAATAAAATGCATTATTTATGGTTAGAATTTGTATGTAAACCATTAGTTACATCATGGAATAATGTGAAGAAATCAGATATTGGTAAGTTTGATTGAAATTTATATCAGAAAGGGATTTTTTGTAGAGATTTTAGAAGTTTCACTGGTTGAAATCATGAGACAGTTGAAGCTAGATCACCATGGAAAATCTGGAAACACTGGAAGACCGCTTCGTCCTAGTATGGGACTCCTAAGCAGTGCGCATCCACGATCCCAACACTTTGCGGAATTCGAACACAGGACCTATCAGTCTCGCACGAGGTGCTTAACCAACTAGACCAATGAACCAGCCGGTATCCGACGGTGTTAATGTCTAACTTCAATCAATCTACGAAGTTGCGCCACCGTACACCATTGTCTTCAGTGAGTTTATATCTCACAACAGACCTGGTTGAACTCCACTGGTCACGGCTTCTCACTAAAACTCCAGGAGTGTTTCTTGAAGTCAGTCACTAATGAGCAGATGACTATTATCAGAAGGGGTTTCGTGGAGATTGTAGAAATTTTAATGGTTGAAACCATGAGTCAATTGAAGCTAGACCACCGCTGAGGAGTCCCATTATAGAACGAAACGACCGTTTAGTGCTTCCAGGTTTTCTATTGGAATTTATATGTTGGATATTATTATTTTATGCTATAATATGATTTGGTTGAGTGTGATAACCAATAAACTCATCAAACAACTTAATTTCCAATTGATACGTTTAAATACAATTTTACATTGAGAATGAGTTAATAAGTCAAGATTATTTTCCAACTGATGTCTTGATATGATGTGTACAATATGCCGATTAAATGTTATCGTTGGAAAAAAGGTTAGTAGTAATTGAAAACTCCATTGGAATTCTGCTGGAACTCTAAATAACCATCAATCAATACCAAGGTCAGAATTTTCGATACAAATGTCAAAACAGTTCTATTGTATGGAGTGGGAGCCTGAAGAACTATGAAAGCCATCATCCACAAGATACAAGTGTTTATTAACAGCTGTCTACGCAAAATACTTCGGATCCGTTGGCCAGAGACTATCAGCAAAAACTTACTATAGAAAACAACAAACCAGATTCCAGCGGACGGAAAAATGTGGAAGAAGCGTGGAAGTGGATAGGACACACATTGAGGAGAGCACCGAACCGCGTCACAAGGCAAGCCCCGACATAGAATCCTGAAGGTCAAAGGAGAAGAGAAAGATCGAAGAACACATTACGCCGAAAAATGGAGACGGATATAAAAGGAATGAACAAGAATTGTTTAGAACTAGAAAGGAAGGCGCAGTAGAGAGTGGGTTGGAGAATGCTGGTTGGCTACCTGTGCTCCATTAGGTGTAACAGGCGTAAGTAAGTAAGTAATTGATATCCTGGGAAAGTTCTTGGCTTATAGTGGAATAATCAAGTGGTCAGTACGATATACAATCTAGGCATTGATTGAAAATGTCAAAGAATATTGAATTGAATTACTTAAAAATAGTTAAGACTCCCTAGTTAAAGTCATATGAATTACCTTCATCAATGATTGAAAACTTTAGGTAAAATAAACTTAAACCAATCATAGTCGAATAGCTGAACTCGTATCTTGGTACCTTTCAATACTAAATTCTGAGTTTCAGTATAGTATTTCACCTTCTGTATTTCTTTTAAAAAAAAATCAAATTCCTCTTTAACTGTTTTCAATAATTATTCCTTTGGTGAGACTATAATTTATGGATGAACCAATCATGTATAAAATAAAAGGGTTTCGGATTTTGGCGCGAAATTCATTCACATTCATTTGGATCTATCGAGTTTTGACAATGTAACTGATATCAGTTCGTGATGAAAACCCCTTAAATCTAATTCCCAACTATAACCCCATCAAACTGTAAATCATAATTCTGAATTCTTTACACTAGTTTATAACCTTCATCATTCAGTCGTAGTAATAAGGTGTACACTCTCAAGTTCAATTTAGCATTATTCAAATGTCATGCATAAATTCTAGTCTCATTTTCATATATTGCTGTTATAATATTCTAGTTGTTATTATTTTACCCTTTTTCAGATTTATTAACTACTTTATCACAATCTAATTCAATCATTCAATTATTTACACAATTAATTGTTTTAAAATTAAATGAAGAAGAAATTGATTGGTTAAAAATGATGATCTTGTTTAGTTCAACATCAGGTAATATGCTGATTGGTGAGTTAATCTTTTGATTGACAAGGTCAAGTGTTTTGATTGGTCAATATAGTATGCTAACTAATTATGATGTATCAGGAGTTTTTGTGAAGGTGGTAGTAATTTCGGCGAGACTCGAATTTAGCGACGAGCCAATCAGAAGCGTTTGAGCAATTTCAAGGTCACGGAGCCAAGTTCAACACGCGATGCTAACATACGATAAGTTCACAGCGGATTTTAGAGAGGAGGTGATTAATGAGAGGTTACAACAGATGGGACGGCGAGACTCTAATTTAGGGACGAGCCAATCAGAAGAGTTTGAGCAATTTAAATTATTAGCCAATCAGAAGACAATATAAAGTAAAAATATATTACAAGAAAGTAATGAATTACAGTAGATATTCTTCTGATTTAAAAACTTGTTAAGGTTTGATAAAGGCTCAGAAGTTCTGAATTCATAATGCATATGGTATAGAAACTCGTCCATAGGGTTAGGGTTTAGGGTTAGAGGCTAGAGTTAGGGTTAGGTTTAAGATTAGGGTTAAGGTTAGGGCTAGGTTGGGGTTTAGGGTTAGGGTTAGGTTTAAGATTAGGGGTGGGTTAGGGTTATGGTTAGGGTTAATGTTAGGTGTTAGGGTGCTAACATGTGATCGGTTTACATCGGATTTTATAGAAGAGGTGTTTATTGAGATGCTACACCCCTAACCTAAGCTCTAATCCTATGGACGGGTTTCTATACCATATGCATTATAAATTCTGAACCTTTATGCAACCTTAACAAGTTTTTAAATCGTGTAAAAGAAAAATATCTACTGCAATTCATTACTTACATTATATTTTCACTTTATAGTTACTGTCTGCTGATTGGCTAATAATTGTCAAGGTCAATCAAGTTTCGTTCAAAGGTCGTCGCTAAATTAGAGTCTCACCGTAATTTCAATAGTTTAGTTTAAGAGTCCATTGAAGCTAGACTACCATGAAGAACCTGGAAGTACTGGATGGTCATTTCGTTCTCAATTGTGAAACTCTTCAGTGTCACTGTTCATTCACGATCCCGTCTTGTGAGATTCGAACCTAGGACTTATCTAGCTTTAATTGAATCATGATCTCAAATATTGAAATTTTACACGAGGTTAATCATAGATACTAAACTATGTGATTGAAATATTGAGTTAAACGGCTTCGAATTATTTATGATTAATATCAGTTCCTTCCACATTTTCTTAATGAGCTTAGATAATAAATAGTAATAGTTCAAAGTATTCTATTTAATTATTATTAATCTTTAGATTCAAATGTATTTTAAAGAATACAGAATATTAATGAAGTGAGCATTTTCATTGTAAATGATAAACGATGTCGTTCAAATAGTGTTTGTATCGATTAATCCGATGGATAACTGAATCAATCTTAATGATCATTTCTATAGACAAATAGTTTAGATCATAATTAGATCTCTATTAGTTATAAATTCATTTGGTAATGTTTTCTTGAATCTTCCCATTGATGTGTTTGGACTGCAATTGATCAATTTGTCTTATTGGCATATGTGCATCCTGTGCGAATTGCCTTAGTTCACATGCATTATAAGCAAATATAGTTGGTGGCTAGCACTGGAATGCAGGACATGCATTTCGTCCTATTTGAGACTCGTCAGTTAGATATACCTGCATCTCAGAGTTGATGTTCACTATGAGACTACGAACCCAGTATTGTTTGCTTCAAATGCCATCACGTTATTTACTTAACTACTGAGTCTTGATAACAATTTACTTGTGCGATAGAATGAATTTTAAATTCATTTGGAATTGTTTTACTTGAATCTTCCCATTGATGTTTATCACTGTAATTGATCAATCTGTTATTAATGGCACATGTGAATCCTATGTAAATTGCTTCGATATTACCTTCATTCACAAATATTCTAAGCAAAGGTGAATAGTGGCTAGCAGTAAAATTCAGTCATAGTGTAGTGAATAAGAACACGAACGGGATATAAGTAACTCATATCACTCTCGTCCCGCCTTTAAAACATTCGTTCTTGAGGTGGTTCTGTTCGCCATGCCACTTTCTTCTTTGCTGCAGTCGTCAAAATGTCGAGTCTGCGTTGCGCTCACCTCCATAGCTCAGTCAACCTGCCGGAGCATCAACATCAGACATCTTCCCAGCGCATGAGACGTTCGACGTTTGAGCTTCAACAGCCTGTCGAGTCATCTACATACGATGTCTGCACAGTATCCTTGTAGTGCGTGCTACTTATATTGATATAAGTAGTATATGACACGAGTCAGGAATGTAATGTCTGGCAGCAGAAGATGGGGAAGATCAGGAAAGGAAGAGTGGGAATAGAAAGCAATTTGTATGGAAATGCAAGAACAACGAAATTCAAGACAATTATTGAACATTTTGCAAATTAAGTATTATAGTATGGTTTTTCTATTTTACCGAGTAACTCCGTAATTTTGTGCTAAATACAATTCGATTGTCCCCACCTGTGTTCTCTTCATTACATCCTCACCTCCCACCACTCTTCCCCGTCGACAGCACCCGCTATATCCAACCAGTACCTCAGCTCCAGGCCCGCAAAGGCGTACGCAGAACAGAACTCTGCCACTTCTGGTTGACAGCGACACCAAATAAAATAAACAAGAACACGAGAGGGGACAATCAAATGTATTTGATCACAAATTACAGAACATCTCATTAAAATCTGACAACTATATAGTAAATTTGCAAAAGATCAATCCATCATCTCAAACTTGACAGTTCCTGTTGCAAAAAAACATCAATCTATTTTCTCAGATTTCATCATTCATACGTTTTCATACTAATTGCATTCCGTTCCCATTCTTTCCTCATCAATCTTGTATTGAAATACATTCGATGGTTGACCATTGTTATATACTACTTATACATAGATATAAGTAGCTCACATCATATTAATAATTTTACTCAATTATTTTCTTTTCTATTTTATACTTCATTATAGATTCATTTCAATTGACACAAAATTATGTCATAAAATATTATCAAACTATATTAAATGGTTGTTTATTACGTCAAGAACAATTAATGCATTTAATTCAAACAATTTATTCATGTATTAATATAAAATGTAATTTACCTATGAATTGGTTAAAATATTATATTGAATGTATATTTCAATTAAATAATGAACAATTTAATTTAATTATTAAACAAATGATATTTACAGCAATAGAAACTTCTGAAATGTTAATGATGACAAACAACCCCATCAACACAATTACCACCACCACCAGGCGCCACACCACCAGCACCACCACCACCAACAACAACAGTAACAACAACTAATTTACATTAAGATCTATGATGGTTATTAATAGTGATGAATGAATTTACAGTTTAAATCAAACTAAAGAATAAACCATAGTAACCAATGTTCGAGCCTAATTCAAAATGTACACATACTCAATGATGTCACACAAATATACACGCACATTTATTCAGTATACATAAATGCTGTTGCCAGGTGATCAGTATTCAAACTTCTCTCTCTCTCGCATGCACACACACACGCACACACATTTATTCACTCTATTTAAATATTATTATTAACAATAAAGATGATATATCGTTGTTAATTAACTAAAGAATGTTTTTGTTTTGTTTTTCCCCCCAATTTCCTCTAGTTTTTTTGTTTTTCTAATTCAATGATCACTTTAAATGAACAGATAACTAAGTTCAGGATTTTAACATTACAATAGTTACATAAACATAAACATAAACACACGCACACACACATACGTACACAAATGCACTTGAAAACAAGAAATGAACAAATGAATATACGAAAAAATATGATTTTCAGTTTGTTTTTTGATTGTTTAACTCCACTATTTTTGTTGTTGTTCTGGTTGTTGTTTTACCTTATTTTCTCACAAGAAATCTCTTTTTTTTTCTTTTTAAAAAAACTTTCTCTTTAGTTTTTTTTTTCTTGTTTATTGTAGCACAAATTTATTTCACCAAAGATAATATAAATCTATAGAAAAACAGAAAAAAAGAAAGAAAGAAACTATTAAGCTTATTAGATAATAGACAATGTAATAATGTTACTGGAAAATATTTCGACTTTCTTAATTATATTACTAATATAATATTAATTAGTAATATCAATAGTATTGTACTATTATACATAATAGTTAATTTCTATTGGTTGTTTAATTAACCAATCAACGAACAGATGAGTAGGATTTCTTTATATATATAGATGAATGGATTTATGCACATATACATTGCCACTTATGATATTTCAATGAAATGACAGTCCAAACGTTTAGTATTACAGGGTTATGTTCAGAGATTCACATATCCATTTTTATAGATACTAAGATATATATATATATAACAAACGAACAACACATCAACCTACTCAAGAACAGTTTTGTTTCTTTATTTATTTTCTTCTTTCTTTGTTTCTTCTCCAGTTCATTTCATTATTACACAATTTGCACTTGATAATCCCTATTACTACTACCACTATTATTATTATTATTACTATTATCGTTATTATTATTATTTTGTAAATAGGATATTTTAATGAAAAGAGTACAACTAGTGACTTAAATGAATTTCATAATTGAAAATATATTTTATGTTTTTTCGGTTGTTGTTGTTGTTTTTTTTTCTTTATGGATTAGGGGAATGTTATGGCCCAAAGCCGTCAATCAGAAGCAGCGAATTATCAATCGGATAAAGGACGCGTAAAACACGTGAGAACAACCTAAAGTCCTGACTAGTCCTGCTTCCCTGTCTAGCCCAGCCAATTTAAGTCCAGAACACCAGTCTCAGCCTCTGTAATATGAATCCTTATATTTCAAACATAATGAGTTTAGATACCAATCAAACAGACCACAAAGTACCACAAAACAGGAAACAGCATTTGTACATCATTTAGCTAGATGTGACTGTGAATGAGGGAGATAGTAATTGATAGACAGGGAATAACTCAAGAATGGAAAATCGTATAATAATGGTTCATAGGTCAAAATAAAGTTTATAATAAGAGGAATATGAATATGAATAGTTTAGTTATTTAACAATTATACTATAAAAATATAGGCATAGTATTTGTCCATAAAAGGATCTCAAAGTTACCAATCATTATGTTTATCGGGACCTAACAGGGAAATAATTTAACATCATTGGGTAAGATTGGATAGTTGAGTGACTGGAGAGCGAAAAAGCGAAAGAGAAAGGGTCTCAGATAAATAGAATTATTAGCTAAAGAAAAAAATTAAAGGGGGAATTTCATAAACATTAATACTATTGGATGGTGGCCGGCCCAATGGTTTAATGGTTAAGCGGTCGCGCGCATGACTGATAGGTCCTGGGTTAAAATCTCGAGAGGTGGGATTGTGGCTGCGCACTGCCACTGAGGAGTTCCACAATAGGACGAAACGGCCCTCCAGTACTTCCACGTTCTTCATGGTAGTCTAGCTTCAATGGACTCGGGATCTTAACCATTAAAATTGCCTTATTTTTAGTAAAAGTATCTCAAGTTGTTATGAATCTAAAAATACGTTTATTAATAGACAAATGTACACAATATACGTGGCAAATGTTTTATTCTTTAAAAAAAATAGCCAGTTCATACCATATCACTACAGATAATCTCAATCTGATACATTGTTTGGTTTCAGTGTTTATCTGATTGGTTAATACCAATTGTACAGAACATATAATTGATGTTGTTTTAAAGAATGGATTAACTTACATTGATTTATGATTTCAATGAAATTCAATAATCTTCATAACTCCATATTGAAAATCAATATGTACTCAATAATGTCTAGCTTTGAAATGAAATTTCCGGTGCTCTAATGAGAAGCCTTTACAAACAGAGTTAAACCGTATTGGGTGTGTGACAGTTATCCACCGAAGACAATATGAAGTGATCACGAAATATCGTGAATTGATTGAAGTTAGAAATAAACACTACTGGATACCGATTCAATGGTCGAAAGGTTAACTGTTCATGTACAAGATCGTAGGCTTTGGGTTTAAGCTCAGTTCTAGAGGTCAATATCTGTGTACTACGAAGGAATGCAATATTAGGACAAAACGATCGTTCATTCCTTCCAGGTCTTCAATGGTAATCTAAAATTGATCGGTTTGTGGTTCTATAGAAAAACAATCTTTCTATCATAAACATATCAGTTTAAAAAAGTACTGATCTTATTATTCTGTGATAGTTAGATTACTGTCTTCAATCTAATTCTAACCGTGTTCAATCGGAAGATGACGTTAGAAAATAGATCATTTTTTAGCGTATAGCAGTTCGAGATATGACTTAATTCAAACAATAACAATAATATAGAGTAACTTCCTGATCCATTCATCAACAGGAAATTACAGAACACACATAAATAAGAGGGAGAATGGGATATAAGTTTGTAATTAATTAACAATAAATTAAGAAAGGTTAAACACATTACAATAGTCAATGCTTTAAAGGATAGTTTAAATTTCAGGGAATATCAGGATCTAATCATTCAAGTGTCGAATAATCATAAACAATAATTCTTCATAAATTAGTATCACAAGTTACAGCTTCCTTGATATATGTCCCGTTACAACAAGTGAGACTATGAACCATAATGGTAATTGTAGACTAACTGGTTAGGATTTGCGTGATTATTGAAAATGATTGATATAACTCAGAATCAACCGCGGAATGACCGTCAATTGCTTCCAAATTTGTAATGTTGGTCAATCTAGGCATATACAATTGGTTGATCACTGGGTGGTGATCACTGTCATGTATGTCAGGTCAGATTGAATCTTATTGACCAATTTGCAATGTGGCCACTAGTTTAGAGAGTCGACATTACACTGATAAAAACCTGATATATATGACAGTGATCACCATCCAGTGATCAATCAATTGTAAATACATCTCAGTCGCGGCACAGATAGTTTAGTGTTAACTTCTACAACTGTGAAGCTGGGTGACATGGGATCGAATCTGTCAGAGAGCATTAGTTTCCTCAAGATTACAGGTACACCTTGCCGATGAGTGTAAAGTAGAACAAAACCTAGACCCAGAGTTTCGTGTTGACTATCTCCAACCATAATTTTAACTAGGTATAATCCATTTAGTGTACATCGACTCACGAATTCAACTATTACAATTACTACAATCTCCACAAACTCCATTCTGATCATAATCATTATGTCTTCACTAGTGACTGGCTCTAAGGTGATTTCCTGAAGTTCTAGTGAGAAGCCGCGACTAGTGGAGCTAATCCTTATCGGGTAGAGACAAATATCTATCTCAGTGCAATGGAAGATGATCGCGCAATTTCTTAAATTGATTGAAGTTAGATATTACCACAATCAGATGCCGGCTCAGTGGTCCAGAGATTAAGCATCCCTATGCAAGACCGAAGGTCTTGGATTCGAATCCTGCAAGCCGGATCATAGATATTCACTGCTGAAGAGTCTCACAATAGGACGAAATAGTCGTCCAGTACTTCCAGGTTCTCAATAGTAGTCTAACATCAATCGGTTCATGATCTTGAATCAAAAAACCATAATAATCTCCACAACCCTATACTGATAATTTTCTTTATTTTCTGGTATGGAATAATCATATTATTCATGTTTTACTATATAAATATATCGTTAATGAATTATATTTACAACATTATTATTGACTTTCAATCATTCAATGATGATAAATGCCTTATTATTTTTCTTCTTTTCATCAGCACATATATACCTAATCAATCAGTTGATTACCTTTTTAATCAGTTAAAACAATCATTCAATCAATCAATCAATCAATCAATGTTCAATGTTCAACATGTGTATATTTGCATAAAGTCAAATAGGTTATTTATTATTTCGAATAATTTGATATTTATATTCGGATGTATACATATCTCCTTCTTCTTTTTCTTTTTCCCTTCCTTCTTCTTCTTCTTCTTCTTCTTTTCTTTCTCTTTCTTCTTCTTCTTCTTATTATTATTATTATTATTATTATTATTATTATTATTATTATCATCATTATTATTAAGTTTTATTACATGTGTCAAGGAAACATTGATCATTGAATAGAAAGTGTGAAATGATAATGTTATAAATTGGGCTAATTTTCTATTTATCCATCTATTCATTCATAAATACAAGCACACACAAACACATAAACATGTACACAAATACACCAAAAGATATTATTAATGTTGTTATT